AATAGCACTGTGCGATAGGGTGTTCAAATAAATAGGTGTGTACAGAGAATATGATGTAACTCACCTGTGAGATGATTGGTCAAGGCAGTGGTAGGAATGAGATCAGGATTTCCGTCTTCCTCTTCTCCTTTACCAGCGAAAGTCGCGATGCTGGGTTGTTGGGGTGGTTTCGGTTTCGCCGGTGTGGCCGCGTGTTTCCTCCAAAGTGCCATCAATACTCCGGTCACGATCAAGCCCAAACCGGTCGCGGTTCCGCCTAGGCCAATCAGGATCGGTGACATGTCCACTGAAGATGTCGATTCGCCTACAAACCAAATTATCGTCGATTATGCTCTATAAATCTACTCTCCGTTTTAGTTTGTCTATCCTCTATAATTAACAATGTATCTACTCTATTTATTCAGCAATGTACACTTCCGTTCAGAAGTTTGGAGCACACTTCCTTCGTTCTGATTAATATGAACACAGTAGAACGTTTTCTTATCCGTTTATACCAACTAGTTAATCCGAACGTTGGCTTTTATTTATCAGAGCAGATTCTATATAAGGACAGCTAGTTATTATCAATCTTGTTTCTGATGTATTATAGCTATAAATTTGATTTCTGACTAAAATTAATTAGAGTTTTCATGCTTCGGGATATTAATGTTATAAATAAAATATTTATATCAAGATATATAAGATAGATAAGCCGAAATATTTCTTTTGAAACTTTCGCATGCTCTAAACTTTTGAAAGGCTAAGCTAAAATACAAAAAGCACTTCTCTCCAACTCGCTAATTCTTTTTTTCATATATATGGACATACGACGTTTTGAAAGCACGCCAAGTGTATTAACGCTTAGAACCACCGGAATGGCTAAAATGAAAAATTTTTCATAGAAATCAGATTTTTGTAAAATCACAGCTGCGTGTTTTTTTTTAGAAATTTGAGTGAGTTTCGTAAAATATGATAGAGTAGAAGCTACGGCCCTTTGTTTTTTTTATTCTTTGTGCTTTCATTTCTCTGACATAAGTTTTATACTTCATTCAGTTGGTAATTTTCTCGCGTGTCAAGATCAATTCTACGAAAATTTTACCAAAGATATATACACAAGTACGTGTTCATTAGTTCTGAAATAATTCTTAATTCTATAATGATAACAGTTGCTTCCGTGAACGCCAAAGTTTCACAAGTCTTTAACTACATTAATTGGTTCTTAATTGCATCGTTTGCAATGACAAATATGTCAATTACTATTGGAAATACAGCATTCAGAATAAACTGGAGGCTGATATAAAATCTAAAGTGTAATTTTACGTGGTGACAAATCATCGAATCTGTGCGTGTATATACACGTAGTGGAGTGTATTTGCATAATTAATTAAACGTTGGTTTGGATAAATTAATGGACGTAAATAAAAGAATTTGTCGATTCGTGGATATTTTATCAACGAGTTTTATTAACGATATACATATTTCGAACGAGCTATCGCGGCAACGTAGTAGAAAATACATCGAAATAATACGCGAAAATGATAAAACAGGACTGCGTCCAATTTTTATTCGGCTAATATTCTGAATTTCATTTCTCTGTCTCTCTCTTTGTTTTTTTCTTTCTCTACTTTTACAAAGGAAATAACACGTTTTCAGTTCCGTTTCCAATTACAAGTAGAAAGAGGTTAATTTTATATACAAAAAGAGATCGAAAAAGAAGAACAATATTCTTTTTTTTCTTTTTTAAACTTTTTTAAATTCTTTTTTAAAAATTTTCTTTTTTTTTTTTT